ACTTGGTAGCCCAGGCTGGCCTCGAACTCACAGAGATCCACCTGGCTCTGCCTCCCGAGTGCTGGGATTAAAGGCGTGCGCCACCACCGCCCGGCTTCATTTAATCTTTATTGAGCTAAGTTACATCCATTTTGAAAAAAGTTAATTTTTTTCTATGTAAATTGGTAGTTTTATAAGTTTGCTAGATAATTCTGAGATGGAGCCAAGATTGTGAGCCACCACTGTAGGACTAGGCTTTGTCCCCACAGGTAAGCTATAAGAATCTGTAATGCCAGGTAACAAGAGGCCCTTATACTATGAATACTTAACCATGTGTTTGCAGTTTGAGTATGTTGCCACTAGATGATCCCTTTGTTCATTTGTGTAGAACCTGAGAATTTGGTGCGTATCTAGTTTTTATTACCCAGATGGTTTACTGATAACTGAGAATTAGTTATACTCTGAGGTGATTCCCCTTTCCTTGTGAAGAAGAAGGAGAATTGATGGCCACGGGGTTCTACATTTATACTGCTTGGAATTCCCCTAGTTTACATCTCGTATGTAAGTCCTAGTGTTCTCTAGCATAACTTCTCTTTGAGGTGACTTTGAACTTTTCAGCTCTGCTGCCTGCAGCAGGTCTCCTGTGTGGCTGCTTGTTGGAGGCTTCCTTCCTGGTTCTCTAATGATGCCACTCCATTGCTAAAATGAGCTGTCTACATTCATTAAGAATGTTGAAATTGCAGACTCCTCTCAGCCCTTTGTAGTCCCATGATTATTTCCTGCCCCTCAGAATTAGCAAGGTGCAGAGGGAAGCAGATTTTGCCTCTTCAGTTTTGAATGTCTGGTTCTTTCTGATTCTTCTCCCACTGATGTCTATTCTGAGATTATCAGTGGAGGCTTGTGTCTGGGAAGCAGATGATTCAGAAGGCAGTTTAAATTTTTTTTACAGACATAAAGCATATAAAGATCATCCTTTGACAGATAAGTTACATTCTCCACAGGAGGTCGGTGGGGATGTTTGTAGAAGACTATTAGCCTTTTTAAAAAATGGCTGCCACAGATTCAACTCACATAGACATCATCTAAGAAAATGGGGGTGGTCTGGGAAAGATGGCCTCGGCCTCTGTGGGGTTCTCTTTTTTGGGCATGTTTTCTTTGTAAACAAAATCTTAAGGTTTCTAGGTCTTTTGCACCCTATAGGGCTCAGCATAGGAGTGCAGGAGCAACTTCATTTTCATAAGGCCTGTGTTTCTGTGGGAGAGCAGGAGAGGTTGGTAGATCACCAGTTAAGGTGGTGATTTGTCTTACCACACAGTCTGGACAACAGATTAGCAATGCATCTCCTACTTATCAGTTGCTTCTTCCTGTGAACAAAAAGGAAATTCTTCTGTATTTGTAAAGATTTGATGTTAAAGATATGGACTTAAATTGTGTGGTTATTCCTTGAATACCTGGGGGTAGGAAATCATGGGTGCTTGGATGGATATGAGGTTAATTACTGTGCAAATGAATATCTAAGGAAGTATGGACTTGATTTGACTTAACTAAGGGGAAAAAGATCTTGTTCATGTGAGGTTGAGTGGTATTGGAAATCCAGAGAATCACAATTGGCTTATGTGCATGTACATATATACAAAGAGCATTTACAGAAATCTCTTGATTATTTGGAATAGGTTTTTGTTTGTTTGTTTTGTTTTTTTGAGACAGATTTTCTCTGTGTAGCCTTGGCTGTCCTGGAACTTACTCTATAGACCAGACCCAGGCTGGCCTTGAAGTCAAATCTTCCTGTCTCTGCCTCCAGAGTGCTGAGTTTGAAGGTGTGCACCACCATGCCTGGCATGGGATAGTTCTTCATCTAGCCTTTTTTTTTTTAGTTCAAAGGGGAGAGTTTATCAAAGTTGAATGTTTTTAATGCTTATTTTTGTTTTTTGAGCCAGGGTCTCATATAGCCCAGACTGATCTCAAGCTTTCTATGTGGTTGAGTCTGGCCTTGAACTCCTGAGCTTCTTGCTTCTACTGCCCAAGTGCTGGGATTACAAATGTACACACCATGCCTAACTTGAGGTTTACTATTTTTAGGGTCTGTAACTAATAGATGTTTCATTTTTATGTTGTGGTAGGGTCACAAGGACTACCATCTACAGACATGCTGTGGGAGTCTTGCTTATGCAGCACCTGAACTAATACAAGGCAAATCGTATCTTGGATCAGAGGTAATTGTTACTGATTAGTTTGGGGACATATTTCTGCCATCCTTGTTGTAGTTGCTTTTTGTCTCAAGTGTTCTGCAGTTTAAGCTGGTTAGGTCAGCTAGGTATGGCCCAGTGCTACAGTGGCACACCTACTTTTCAAAGATGTTTATTAGCACAGGAAAAAAACTACCCTTCAAGTATACCTGACACCCCAAAGCCAGTGGTCCTGTCACGGGTCCCTGCTCAGAAGGCCTGGCTTTGCTCCTTTGCACTTGCTCCCTCAAGTTAGGCAGCCCCTCTTATTCTCTGGAGTTCAGGTGTTGCTGCATTAGCGTTTTAGAGAAATAAAACATGACTTGTCAGAGCTTGGGCGTTTCTGGGCTGAGCATCTCCTGTCTTGCATGCACGCTTGTACAGTGGGACCTTTGGAAGGGAAACAGCCTAGGTGGCAGCTGGTCCCAGCTTTCTCTACCTGCAGAATCCACTTTTCTGTGGAACATTTCTGGGGAGAATTGCAATGTGGGAGAACTTTGGAAATACCAGCTTACTTAATTTGGAACAGGAGTAAATGGGAATTTGTATATTTTTAGTGACTTCATTTTGATCTCACATTTAAAGTATTTTACAAAAATAGAATTAAGAACTTTGGCATATTTTTATTTAAATTTGTAATTATTTACATTTTCCTCATTTGCTTCTTTCTTGGAACATACATATTATGCAGATCCTTTTTTAACCATGTGAATGTGAACTGAACATCGTATCCTGTTATAACTATATGTACACTTTATTATTTTTTTTTTTTTTTTTTTTTTTGTTTTTCGAGACAGGGTTTCTCTGTGTAGCTTTGCGCCTTTCCTGGGACTCACTTGGTAGCCCAGGCTGGCCTCGAACTCACAGAGATCCACCTGGCTCTGCCTCCCGAGTGCTGGGATTAAAGGCGTGCGCCACCACCGCCCGGCTTTTTTTTTTTTTTTTTTTTTTTTTTTTTTTTTAAAGATTTATTTATTTATTATGTACACAGTGTTTTGTCTGCATGTATGTCTGCACACCAGAAGAGGGCACCAGATCTCATTATAGATGGTTGTAAGCCACCATGTGGTTACTGGGAATTGAACTCAGGACCTCTGGAAGAGCAACCAGTGTTCTTAACCTCTGAGCCATCTCTCCAGCCCTATTTTTTAATATATTGTCTTTTTAAAAAAATTATTGCCGGGTGGTGGTGGCAATAATCCCAGCACTTGGGAGGCAGAGCCAGGCGGATCTCTGTGAGTTCGAGGCCAGTCTGGTCTACAGAGCTAGATCCAGGACAGGCACCAAAACTACATGGAGAAACCCTGTCTTGAAAAAAACCAAAAAAAAAAAAAAAAAAAAGAAGAAAAAAATTCTTTACTATATCTTTGTGTGTATATTGGGGACAGCGAATGCCACAGTGTACATATGGAGGTCAGAGGATAACTTTTAGGAGTTAGTTCTGTCCTCCCACTGTTAAGGTTCCAGACATTGAACTCAGCTTGTCAGCCTTGGTAGCAAGTGTTTTTATCTGTTGAGTCATCTTGCCAGCCCTGTTTTTGTTTGTTTTTTTTATTTAAATGAGCCATTTTTTAAAATTGTTCATTTCTTGCATTTGAAGTGCTCTTCCATGACCTCTTGAGATTCTTGGCCATAGTCCTTACCCACTATGTGGCTCCAACCACCACCACCACTCTGTGGGCTTTCCTCCTTGATAGTTCTGAGGCCTACCTATCATTTAGTTTCTTGCTTTCGGGAACTTTAGGTTGATTTGGTGCTCAGCATAAAGGGCCTTCATCCTCCTGACATACATAGGCACATCACAGTTGGAAACAGACACACAAAGACATGCTTGGAGCTGGTCTGCGGCTTTGGCACTTCTGTGCATTCACGTGCTAGGCTTTCATGGATGAGTGTGGCCTTGAACACCTCTTGTAAAGCCACCCATTACAGCTTCAGCAGCAGTGCCTTTTTTTGGCCATGGTGGTGGGGTATGGTGACACTGAATCTTGAATGCACTTGAGTCGCTGCCTCTGTCTGGGAGACTTGGCGGTGGCAGGGAAATGCTTATTTGTTTATTTTGGAAGAATAGTTTATTGCGTATATTTCAAGAGAGCACCAGGCTGGGCAGTAACTGGAGTTATAAAGCTTGTAGCTTTATGTATGTATATTTTCTGAAAGTCAGGAAGGACCTTTCCTTCTTGGTGTGTGTATGTGTGTGTTCACATGTGTGTTTATAGGTGTACATGCATTTGTGTGCATAAATCTGAAGTTGACATCAGGTTGACAGCTTCTACATTATTGAGGCAGAGTCTCTTACTGAACTCTGTAGTTCACCAATTCCAGCTAGTTTTGGTAGCCAGCATGACAAGGGAGTCACTTGTCTCTGACTTCCAGGTGCTAGGCTTGGAAGTCACACTGCCTGGCTTTTATGTGGACTTGGGGATCTAAATCCCATCCTCATGCCTGTATGGCATATATCCTAAGCTGGTCTGGAACCCACTGTGTAGCTCAGGTTAGCCTTGAGTTGTTGAGTGTTCTTACCTCATCTTCCCTTCACCAGTGCTAGGGTTAAGCCATTCGGCTGCAGACCCCTGTAAAGTGTGTGCCTGTACCGATGATTCTCTTTATATCCTTATTGCATTGGTTACTGTATTTCTTTAGCTCTAGTTACATGTATGTATGTATGTATGTATGTATGTATGTATGTATTGTGCATGCAGATGAAGACCAGAGGACAGTTTATGGGAATTGGTTTTCTTTCTCCTTCCACTGTGAGAGTCTTGGGGATTGAATTTATGTTAACCTTTCAACATGCTTCTTTATTTGCTGATCCATCTTGCTGGCACTCTTGAGCTCTTTTTAAATCTGGAAAACTTAGGCTTTCTTCATTTTCCTTACAAACATTCCCCTCCTCCTGTATCACAATATAGTTCTGGTTGGCCTGAAACTCACTATGTAAATCAGGCTGGACTCTCAGAGATCCCTTCCTTCTGCCTCCTGAGTGCTGGGATTAAAGGTATGTACCACAATGCCTGGCTTGTTTGTGAAACAGGTCTCATATAGCTCCCGCTATGAACTTCTGATTTTGTCTTTACCTCCCAAGCATTCAGTTTATGTGGTGCTGGGGATCAAATCAAGGGCTTCATGCTTGCTAGGCAAGTGTTTTGCTAACCAAACTATATCCCCCCAGCCCTTTCTTTTTAAACTTTGGAAAAATGCACATAAAATAAAGTCTACCATGGTAACTGGTTTGCAGTTCAGTTTGTTAAGTATAGTCACACTGTTGTGCAATGAAGCTCTATAGTTCTCTTTACCTTGTAGAGCTAAAGCCTGATGTTCACTGAACAATACCTCCCATTTCTACTAACCTCTCTGGCTTTTGTCCTATTCTCCATGTCGCTGAATTTGGTTATTCCATGTCACATATAATTTTTATTTACTTATTCATTCATTCATTTATTTAGGTTTTTCAAGACAGGGTTTCTCTCTGTAGCTTTTGGAGCCTATCCTGGACTCACTCTGTAGACCAGGCTGGCCTCGAACTCACAGAGATCCGCCTGGCTCTGCCTCCCGAGTGCTGGGATTAAAGGCATGCGCCACCACCGCTCGTCACATATTATTTTAATAAGTTTTTGTGAATATCTTATTTCACTTAACATAATGTCTTCAAGGTTTATCTGTGTAATAGCATTTGTCATTTAAAGAAAAAGTGTGTGTGTGTGTTATGTATGTGAGGGCTTTCCCTGAACTTGAGGCTCCTTGGCTAGGTTGGAAGCCAGCAATCCACTGCAATCTTTCTGTGCCTGCTCTCCTTGGAGCTGGACTTTATAGGCATTGGCAGGGTGCCCAACTTGTTACATGAGTCATGGGATTTGAACTCTGGTCCTTGTAATTGTGCAGCAGACACTTAACTATTTTGCCATCTCTTTAGCCCTCTTATGTGGTCTTAAGTAGTATCCTTGTCCATGTGAGTTTGACTTTTTGTCCTTGAGAGATACTGTCTTAAGAGCTGTGCCAAGGAGTCCATTGTGATGCTTGAATGATGCAAAACTCAGGCCTATACCCTTGGAGATTTTGGTTTGATTGTTTAAGAATAGTGCTTCATTTTAAAGTAAGCAGTTGAGGTAATTCTGGCGTTTATCCTGCCTAGGACATGTTCCATGGTAGGGTCTCTTAAGGCTTTCACAAATTTCTCATGGGAAATGTTTCAGAGTTTTTTCTTTCCCCAGTTGTTTTGATTGTACTTGCCAATTGATAAGCTTATTTACATCTGCTTTGGCTTATAATTTTAGTTAGTAAGTGTGTTCTCTTATCTAATTTGAAACAGTGATGTGAGATGCCTGATTGTGTTAACTGGAAAGTGTTTCTTTTCAGTAGGCTGTTGTAGATTTTTATGGAAACATTACGATACTTTTTTTTTTTCGTCTTTTAGTGTAATCTCAGACATAATCTGTTTTGACCGCTCATGGTGTTTGACAAGGCTATGTTTACTTTCTGTATTGCCTCAACTTAATAAATGAAATGGCTGACACCTCTCAGGTATAAATGCTTAACTTCTAATCTCCTACAGCTTGGAACACAGATCACTTGTTGGGAATTATTTTCTATTCCGTATTAGCATGTAGCTAGTGGAGTCTACTAAATTGAAAGTCAGGAGGTCTTCCATTGAGTCAGTAACTTTGAACAAATCTTCCTTTCTGGGCTTCATGTTCACTGTCTGTAGAATGAGCAAGTTGAATTGGCTGGTTTCTTAGTGCTCTTCCAGCTTTGTGAAGATTCTGTGAGTCTCTTTGTGTCCTGCCTTTGAAATGTGTTTTAATGCTATTTTTTCTCCCTCTTAGGCAGATGTTTGGAGCATGGGCATCCTCTTATATGTGCTTATGTGCGGATTTCTACCGTTTGATGATGATAATGTCATGGCTTTGTACAAGAAGATTATGGTGAGTATTACGGGTACAGAATTTCGGAATAAAAGCTCTCTGCTGCTTATTGTATGCTCCCATGGATAAAAGTACCAAAAGGCAAACAGATTCTGGCCTGTTAGAAGTTAAGACTACAGGTATTGTTTGGCCATGGTTAAAAGGAATGGAGTTGGAGGCTGCTTTTTCTTTGCCTTTTTTTTCCCCCTGAGGTAGGATTTGTCTGTGTATCCCTGGCTCTCCTGGAACTCACTCTGTAGACCAGGCTGGCCTCAAACTCAGAGATGCTCCTGCCTCTGCTTCCTGAGTGCTGCAATTATATGCGTGTGCACCATCACTGCCCGGCATGGCTGCTTTTTCTTGATCTGGATTCCAGTCATACTTTTTGTATTCATTTTTTGAAAACTTATCAAGATATATGTTTATAATATATTTTAATAAAATATACTATATTTATCTCCCATACTCAATAAAATTTTTAACAAAACACAAGCTGAAAGTGTTCCATATTTTAGGCTGCTGCAAAATGAAATAAATATGTAAGATTCTTTTCCTGTTTAAGAGTTTTGTGTGTCTATATGTATGTGAATACATGTATTGAGAGCGGCTGGTAGCAAAAGACTGGGAGTATACAGAAGATGACAAATAGTGTTCAGAGGGTCACCCTGTCAGAACCAAGGGTTCTGTTAGAGGAAACCATCACGCAAGGCGTTATGGAATTGCTGCCTTTTGAATGAATTGGTTGTTTCTTGTTGTAAACTTCTTGAGCAATAACAGCTATGATTCTCCCCATTTACCGTGCATTTCCATGTAATGTGTACATGTACGTGTAATCTCATGGCTGCATCTCAATCTTATGGGCACACATAATTGTGGATAGTCTAGAAGATGGTTTCTTATTTAACTGTACAATTTTTATGAATAGAAATATACTAAAATATGCTTCATATTAGGTCTATTGTTCCATGTGGACTGTAGACACTTAGAGGTCTTGTTCTTTATCCCTAGCTACTAACTAGGTAAAACTGGCCAGACACAGTGTCCTTATGGAACTTTCACAGAGCAGAATTGCAGGTGCCTGGCCTTGTTGGATCAAAACCTTTTAGAAGAATTGTTAGCGAACTAGAAGTGATATTGCAGGTGTCTGGCCTTATTATACCTTAGTCCTTCAAGAGATCAGTAACACCTATGTTCCTGAGAGAGTTTACTTTGTAGTTTTTACTAACAAGTTGTAAATGAATGGATATGTATGTATGTATGTATGTATGTATATATGTATGTATATGCTTGGGAAGAACAAAGAGGAGGACGAAGATGAGGAAGAACTAAGTTTAGAACAATGAGAGTACAGCAGAAGAAGAGACGGGAGCTAAGTATAAGAACAGAAAAGAAGCTGTGTAGATAGAATTGAATTAGAAGAATAAAGTGAGTGAACTAAAGAACTCAGTGTGCTTAGATTCATTGAATATCCCTCAGATTTTAGATTCCCAGCTGGTTGTTAGATTCTCCCACCAACCTTGGGAGAAAGCAATACATATGTGTATGTTTATGTGTGTGCTTATGCATGTGTCTGCATATAGAGGTAAGATATGGACAGAGGATGAAACTTAATGACTGCTAGGGTCTTGTTGGAGTCAACCACAGGCTGTCTAAAAAAAGAAAGGGCAAAGAATGCCATATAATATCAATGTATAAGTAAAAGCAGCAGCAGCTGAGGAAGAATTTGGTAGAAATCCTACAGGTAAGAATTGGGCAGGGTGTTTATAAAAAGTGCTTTTGATAGAGTAGCAAGCAAGTACATAGTGATGGGAGAAATGTGGGGAGGAATGTTGAGAAGTTTTTGATTGGACCATGCAATCTTCTAGCACCTTTATGTAAGGAGAGACGCTAAGTCAATAGAATTGAAATGCCAGGCCTAGGTGACTTGTGGCTCACTGTGGAATGCCAAATCTAAGGACACAGGTTTTAATCTTCATTTAAAAAAAAAATCAATAGTTTCTTCTCTCCTAAGTTGTTAAAAAAAAAAAAAACTCTTTAGAATTGATGTCTACACTACTAAGAATAATTTTAGGAAGAGATTCAATTGTGGGAATTTGGCTCCTTGGAGGCTGAAAAGGTCTAATCCTGCAGGCTTGCTGATAAGTGGAATGATGGCAGTAGCCATTACTACTGCCTTGGCAGCCTGTGTGCATCTTTCCTTCTTGGGAAAGAAGAGAGATGGGCATGGAGCTGAAGGCCAGCCTCCTGGAGCCTGCTGGTGTGGCCAGCACGGTCTGTATTTCCACCTACCCCTTCTTAAGCTTTCTCTAAGCGTTGTGGGCTGTCAGCTGTGGCTTTGGCTCCTGCTTGCTGAGTATGGCAGCACTTCCTGTCACAGAGCTCTGTCACCCCAAGGTAGCAGTGCATTTAGAGTAGGGTTGGCTCACTCTGGAGCTTTGTTGTTAGTTGACAGAGTGCAGCCTTGGTCTTTGGGCAGTTCAAGAACATTTTCCAGTTGTGTTTTGAATAAACAGTAGCTTGTCTTGAATTCTTTCCTCTGCTGGTCTTTTCTGCAAAGTAGAGCTATGTTTCTTGGTCTGAAAAAGAAAGTCTAGTATTGTAGCTGCTATTTTATTATATCCTATGCTTCCTTGGGGAACCTGATGCCAAAGAAATAAACTGATTTTTCCAAAGATGGGCTGAATAAATCTGCTTACCGGTACAGTGCAGAATCTTACACCCCCAGAATTCTAGGTGAGTGTTCTCTTTCCGAGTTCCTCCCTGGCTCTCACCTCCCAAAAGTTCCAGAAAGACAGTGTGGGGCTGCATAATCATAGAAGTTATACTTGTGCAAAGAATCTTGGAAACTTTTTCTTCCTTTGATGCTTGTTCACTCCTTAGATATATGGTGTGGTCTCCTCATGGTGGGAGGAGCCTTTGGAAATAGACTATGAGGAGCAGTTCACGATGCTGACTGAACGACAGAGTCACCTTCGGTACTGAAGGAAATGCTGATTTCAGCCCTTAGGACATCTGGGCCAGGTGACATTTTGGAAACTAAAGACTATTCTGGCTGTGGGCTTTGGCGAATTAACTTCTTTGTATCTGATTTTCTTCTGTAAAATGGGTGGACTATACCTACAGCATAGGGCTCTAAGGATTTAGTAAGTGAGCTATGAAAAGCACTGAGTAGTGTGCACTAGACATCAGTTGTTATTATTAGCACATTTCTAAGTCCGGCTAGTGCTTTGTCTAAGACTTAAAATTGTTCAGAGATTAATGTGTCTTTTTTCTTTCTAGAATTTATAATGATGGCCAGGAGGTGGTGGCACAGGCCTTTAATCCCAGCACTTGGGAAGCAGAGGCAGGTGGATCTCTGTGAGTTCGAGGCCAGCCTAGTCTATAGAGTGAGTTCCAAGTGTGTAGCCAGAGCTACATAGAAAGACCCTTCTCAAAACAAATAAACAAACAAAAAATTGTAATGATGTTGGGCAGTGGTGGCATTTAATCCCAGCACCCTGTGGATTTGAGGCCGGCCTGGTCTACAGAGCAAGTTCTAGGACAGCCAAGGCTGTCACACAGAGAAACCCTGTCTGGAAACAAAACAATTTGTAATGATTTTTTTCTGTGTTTGTATGTATGCATGTCCGTGTGTGTGCATGCATACATGATGTCTGCGTATGAGCACGTAGGTGTGCCATAGCATCCATGTGGAGGTCAGAGGACGTGATGTAATTTAGTTTTAAAGATTTACTGGCCGGGTGGTGGTGGCGCATGCCTTTAATCCCAGCACTCGGGAGGCAAAGGCAGGCGGATCTCTGTGAGTTCGAGGCCAGCCTGGGCTACAGAATGAGTTCCAGGAAAGGCGCAAAGCTACACAGAGAAACCCTGTTTCGAAACCCCCCCCCCCAAAAAAAAAAAAAAGATTTATTATATTAAACTATGTGTATATGTGTGTATCTATGCATGTGAGTGCAGGTGCCTGCAGAGGCCAGAGGAAGGTGTCAGATTCCCGGGAGCTGGAGTTAATAGGCATTGGGAGCCCCCTGACATGGGTGTTGGGAACTAAACTTTCAGAAGAGCTAAGTGCTCTTAACTACCAAGAGAACAGAGGAGAACCAGGGTGGTAGGGATTCAGCTAAGAGATTGGGCAGCATAAGTGGTGAGAAGGTGGGCAAGTGAAAGAGAGGAAAGGGTGGGGAAATGTCTGTTTTATCCTCTTAAAAAAGTGCTGGATGGGGGCCGGGGAGGTGGCTCAGCAGTTAAGAGCACTGGCTGCTCTTCTGGAGGACTCAGGTTCAATTCCCAGCAACCACATGACAGCTCACAACTGTCTGTAGTTCCAGTTCCAGGGGATCTGACAGCCTCACACAGATATACAGGCAAAACACTAATGCACATAAGAAAAACAAAAAGTACTGGATGATCTGTCTAGAGCATTTCTCTCTGAAGTTCCTTTTGGTCACTGTCTTATCACAGCACAAATAGTAACTTACAGGAGGGAAAGTGGGGAAGAGAGAGGGAAAGTAATTTGCGGTTACCCACTTCCTGGCAGATTGATAGGAACTCAGCTGGTTCGGAGTCAGTCTATATTCCTAGCCTGCTAGAGCGAGTCCTGAGGACTAATACCTGTCCTACGTGTTACTAAGCCACATAGTGTAGGGTTTTTATACTCTATTTATACTTTTTAGTAGTAATTCTTTGATTAATAATTTTAGTGTCAGATGTGGTAGGGGTCCAACTTTTCCCTTTTCTTTTTCTTGAGGTACCAGGGTCTCTGATCAAGGGACTTGTGTACGCCAGGTCAGTGCTCCATTACTGAGCTACACCTAACTTCTTCCTTTTTAAGAAATTTAAAATACCCTTTTGTCTTAAAAACTTGTGAAGGTAATATAGAGTGTCCATAGCCCTCATTTCTTTCCTGTGTTGTTGTCTGTTACAGGCACACTTGTCACACTAAGGAACGAATGCTGTTTTCTCATTGACTAAACTCTTACTTGGATTTCAGCACACTTTCTCTAATGTCCTTTTTGTAGTTTAGA